GTATCGTAGAGAAGCACGACATCCCCGACTGCCAAGGGTACTTTCCTCACTCGCGCAGACTGATCCCATCGAGCCTTATCATCCATACGGCTTCTCGCCACCTGGTCAGACGCCTCCTGGATCCTTTCTTCTATTGCTCCTATCTGCCGCGCCCGAATATCGAGCAACTCTTCAAATGACAGGTTGACTTGCAGATCTCGGCGCCTCCACGTCTTATGAAAGCTTTCGATAGGGAAGGTGGTATGCCTTCCGTACCACAGCGTCGCAGGTGCGTACTTGGTGGATCTCTTTACCGTAATGTTCTCGACAAAGAAAGTCGCCCTTAGGTATCTTGGCCATTGATTAGGCCTACCTTCGGTCCATTTGGCCAGGAGATTCGTAATGGTACTATGTCCTCTCTCTACGGGAGCATTTGCCTGGGGGTGCGCGGCCGTGGTGTAGTTGGCTGCCACACTATACCTTGATAACAGTTCTTGCACCTCCTAGTAGGTAAACTCTAATCCCCTGTCCATTACGAATTCCCTGACGAAAGGATAACGCAGGTAGTATTCCTCGATGCAGCTCACCAGGGCTGACCCGGGTCTTTGTGCGAATGGCACGTCCGTCTACGAACCCAGACAGGTTATCGCGCGCATCGAAGATATAGTTATAGCCTTGATCCCCAAGTGGCATAAAAAAGTAGATCGAGATGCACTACAGCCCCCACCTCTCGCTCTAGCCTGGGATGCAACGGCTCTCCTTGCCTTAAACGGGATCTTTCCTGGCAAGGTACGCAAGATCGGCAGAACTTTCCGACCATATCCATCATCCCATCCCAATAGTACAGCTCACTTATCTTGGCATACGTGGCTTGTACCCCTCGATGTCCTCCTGCAATACTATCGTGAAGCGCTACTACGACGTCGATCTGACGATTCCTACTGCAGACGACTCTCCTGGGATTCCCCACTTCCCTTCTCACGAAAAGGTGACCGTCTCGCACTAAATAGCGCTGCAGCATCCTTTGACTCTTATCGCTCGCATCTCTTAGCCGCATTTCACATGACAGAAGAAGCCCCAGCTCTAGGTAGATCCCGTCGTACTCCTCTGCACGAAAAGCTTCTTTAATTTCTCCTTCTTCGAACTCGTCGTCCTGACTCTCGGGTATTTCGTCCACATTCCCTGCCGGGTTCAACGAGCCTGACTGGTCTAGACTTTCCTGCAATAACGTATTGACGAGGAGATACATTCCTCCCATCAGGTCCTCATGCCGTTCTACCTGGCCAGGTCCTTCCTCAATCGTCCTCATATCCTCCACCAGGCTATGCGAGCTGGTCAGCGCTAATTCCATCATCCACTGAACATCCCTACCGCCCCAGGGATCCTCTTCTTTAAAGGGTTTGAGGACCAGCTCGATTCTCCTTTCATATCCGCTCGGCGCTTGCCAAATAGGATAGCCTACACAGCTGGGCACTCGCGGCGACCACTTATTGATATGGAGACGAACATCTTCTTCCTGATCCAGAAATCCATCAACTGGGGGCGTATTCTCCACCGCCTCCCCTTCCTGCTTATCCCAGTTGATCCGACTCAGCCCGTCCGCCCGGTTCTTACTACCAGGAATCCGTTCYAATTCGAAATTGAACATCCAGATGTACGTCAGTCATCTGGCAATCGTCGGATCCGATGGAACGTAATTCCTTAGAGAATAGGCTAGGGCGGTCGGATCCACTCTCAAAATAAATCTCCTGCCGAAGACATAGTTCCGGAAGATTCGCAGACAGTGGAGGACAGCAAGGGTCTCCCTCTTGAACTGAGAGTAGTTCCTCTCGGTTGTACTGAGAGTCCGGCTCTCAAATCGCAAGGGTTTTTCCTTTCCTTCCATGTCTGCTTGTATTAGAACTCTCTCTAAGGCAGTCGGTCCCGCATCCGTTTCGACAATGAAGGGTCGCGTCTCTGTGGAGTCATAATCTGGCGCTCCTAACACCAACCCTCCTTCTCGAAATTCCTCCTTCATTTTTGCTACCACCTTTTCTTGTTCCTCACCCCATACCCATTCCTGATCCTGACGGACTAACTTCCTCAGGTGTTCAGTCTTAGCGGCAAAGTTCTTGACGAAGGTCCTCCAAAATCCACACGTACCAAGGAAGCTTCTGACGTCAGTTATTGAGTGGAACGGAACTGGCCACATCCGGCCTTCGGCCCTTCTTATTGCAAACTATCCCCAAGATAGTCGCTTCCCTCATGCAATGTCTAGATTTAGCCCCACTTGCCATGAGGTTATGCTCTTCGAGCAGGCTCAAGACCTTTTCGAGTTCCTAGATGTGTTTCCAGACAAAGCGCCTTACCCCTGGTGAGACTTCGTCGCTTTCTTTCGTCGCGGGCCCCTTTACTGTCAAATCGTCAATATATGGCTGTGTGATATGGGGGCTGACTGACTGCATGGCTCGAATCATGGCCCGTTAGACCATTGCTACTGCGTTGGTCCACCCTTGTGGGGCCATGTTCATGTGGACTAATCCTCGCGGCGTGTGCATAACCGTCACCGGCCTATCCGGCGGGTAGACTGGGAATTGATCGTATCCTGAGTAAAGGTCTATAAGCGATATTATAGGCATTCCAACACAGGATTCTGACAGCGCGTCTGCATTCGGCAGTCCTCCAGCATCTCGCACGGTCACTGCATTCAGTCTTTGCAAATCTTGCACCCACCGCAGCGTCCCGTTAGGCTTAATGAAGCAGAACCACGGGGACGCATACGGTCCACTTGAATAGTCGGCGACGTGATCTTGCCGTCGAGATAATCCACCACCTTCCTTTCCTCGTCAGGATTGGGATATCGCGCCCCTCTCATGTTCCAAGGCTCGTGTGGCACGGTATGGATGCGGATCATAGGTATCTTATCTACATCTAGCCTGCCACGCTCCTTGTCACTAAACGCGTAGGCGCGATGCTTCCTCTTCATTAATTCCACCATCAACGTTCGCTCCTGAGGCAGCAGGAAATCAGACTCCCCTATGATCAACTCCTTCTCGTTCCCTTCGTTGATACGACATGACCCTGCTAAAGCACTTTCCCTTATTCGTCGAATCAACCCTCGCTCCCTCTTGTAATATGCTTCCTCGTCCTCTATAACGAGGACGGGTACCGGGCGGCACTTCTTGTCTACCGCCTTGTACCGCCTTTGGGAACCCTGCTTGAGCCGTCCCCTAAAAAAGGCCGACTCACAAATTGTGTTTGCACTGATGCGGGGTTCCCTCCGCTGCCTGGGAGCCGATATACCAATTCCAACCTTCCTGCCTCAGGGCATTCCAGAACTTGTTCCCTCAGGGCCTGGATGGCATCCGGATCTGCCATCTCATGCGCGGCCACCAGGTCCATGGCCTTCCCAACATCTGACAGGCTGAGGGAAAATGCTTCCACCCTCTCCTGCTTCGAGTTCTGCCCAGAGCCTTCCGACTCCTCGATTGTGAATGATCCTGGATTGGGCCGGTTCCTTATACTCCTTGGCCCGGTGTTCCTGCAAGTAATTATTTCATAACTCCCGCAGGCAGGATTACATAAGAGGAGGATCAACGTCCCATCATGTTTGTTGAACATCACGGTCTCTGTTCTGCTTAGGAATAACCTCCCCAGGAGGATTCCATGGTCCACGTCTGACATTATGAAGAAGCATGCCCTGACCTTCACCTTTCCAACCTCGACGAGCACATTCGAGGTTGTCCCGCAAAACATGGCCTTACAGCTGGCTCCATGCAGAATACCGCAGTCAGAACGGTCTATATCTAGCCCGAATCCGATCGCATCTGCCTTCCGAATAATGTTCATATCTGCCCCGGTGTCCACCATTGCTGCGCACTTGGAACCCTTCATCATCAAATCCACCGTACCGCAGGCTACACACTTCCAGTCCATCTTCGTACCTGACTCTGCCCACTTTGCCTCCTTGGGCAGGATCGTACCCAGATGGACATTGGGCACCAGGCGCCATGATAACCTCCCCTTCAGTTCATCGCGGGGTCACGGGGCTGACGCTAGGATTTCCTTCAGGGTCATGAGGTCATTATGCCCTTCCAGCAGTCGGTCAATCACCTTCTCTACGTCAAATCCTTCTCCCAACCGGACTGCGTATTTCTTCTTTTTGGGTGGTCCGTCATGTATGACCGGTTCGGCCTCTCCCCTGGTCCCCTTTTTCCTTGCCCGCTGCTCCGCTCTCTGATCCTCTTCTCTGCGCAGCCTCTCATCCTCTTCCTCTTCATCATCGTTATCCTCTACTTCCACAGCTTCTTTCCTTTTCCCTGGTTCGTGTTCCCTCCTTGAAGGCTCTTGACTGGTACTGGCCTTGGCTTGATTCCTCGTTCGCGCTACCTGTGCCAGCCGGGCCTGCGGAGTGAGGGGTCTCCCCCTCATTCCTGATTGTGGGCACGACCCCACCATATTTACTTCGGGTCGCCCAGGTGTTGACTCCGGGCCGGAGTCATAGAGGAATATTGTGGGGATGTTAGACCTCCATCCTTTCACTTCTTTACAGAGGCCTACCAACTTCTGTTGGTACCTCCCCATCTTATCCAGCAAGTCCTCCATCTTCTCAAATAAGGTGGACGGAGGCTCCGTTCTTTCCTCCTCATCCTCGTCATCTGACTCGATGATTATGGTCTCTTCCGTCTCACTTCCTCCTCGTAGCCCTTGAGTCACTTCCTCATCGCTTCCCACTTCTTCCACCCTAAACGGTGGTTCCTCCTTTTCCTGCCATAGCCTGAACATGGCAGGGGGCGGTGGCCCCGCTGCCGCTCTTCGTTGGGCTTCAGCCCTCACTCTTCCAAGCCTTCTGTCAATGGCCTCCCCAAACTGATCGTAGATATTTCCATCCATAGTAGAGGAAATCAGTCCGCTTCTCTCGTCTTCCCGTCTTATATTACAGAACCTTATAGTGTGGCCCTACTGGTCACAATGTTGACAGATGGCCGTCCTCCAGTCAAAGCGGGGTCTTCCATACCCCTGACTTCCCTGATCCCCTTGGCCTTGATACCCCTTGCCTTGATAGCCCTGGCCTTGGTACCCGTCGCCCTGACTCCCTTGGCCTTGGTACCCCTGGCCTTGACTCCCTTGGCCTTGGTACCCCAAGCCTTGACTTCCTTGGCCTTGGTACCCCTGGCCTTGACTCCCTTGGCCTTGGTACCCCTGGCCTTGACTTCCTTGGCCTTGGTACCCCTGGCCTTGACTCCCTTGGCCTTGGTACCCCTGGCCTTGGCCATTCCATTGCCTTCCTCTCCCGCCGCCATTCCTACCTCGCCCCTTTCCTCCACCCCTCCCTCCACTGCCTTGATTGCCCTGCCCCTGGCTGCCACCCCCTAAAACACTGCCCAGTGAACTGGGATGAGGTGACGGTGGCGGGGCCACAGGTTGAGCCTGGGCCGCGGGGTAGATGGTTGGTGGCATACTCATTTGTGGTCCGGCTACTGGCGGCGTACCTCCGGCGTACCTCCCCATGGCACAATTGCGTTGATCACCGGCCAGGGCCGCTGTCCATAGGAGGGCGCCCCACCTTGCGAGGGGCCCGTACAAGATGAGGGAGTCGCCATATTAAAAGGGGCTGCTGCCTGGGTTTGAGGCGCCTGCGCTTTTCCTGATCCTTGTCCGCCCTGCGCCAAATTACGCACTTTGCGCTGGACCTTCGTCACGTGCTGCGGCACCGGCTCTTCCTCTTCCCAGAGCTCCTCCTGACCAACCTCCTCTATTACTGGCTCTTTTCCTTTTACTTTGACAGCCGTCACCACCCTCGTTTGCACCACTGTCTCTGTCGCATACCCTAGYTGTGCCAATACGTCTGTAACAATCCTTGTTACTCCCGGGGTCCCAGAAGCGGTCGCATCTCTTTCCTTTCTCTTCTGTCTTTGCAGGCGTACCTGACGTTGTTCCACCTGGTCCAAGCACCCAACTTCCACCCCTCTGTCAATGGTGGCCCAGGTGAGCTTAGTGCTACCTCCTCCATGTCTCGTCAACTCAACAGCCTCCGATGCTGTGAGTAGCCCCAGGAAGATGGCGCACTGTGCTTTCTCCGAAATCCCATGGACCTTCCGCGCCCTCTTCTTAAATTCTTAAACAAAGGCCCCTATAGTCGTAAAATCCTCTTTGTTCATCGCTTCAAGGTCCGTGGTAGTCAACAACCCGTCTCCCAGGCGGTATTTTCTCTGCATCCCCTCCTTGAACCTCTCCCAGCTACCTTGAGCCGCATCTATGACTTTCTTCACCTCCTGATGGTAGCTGTGGAGGACATACTGAAGGATGCGTTGAAACTTTACAACATCCGACCGCCCGACCAAAGCTTGTTCCACCCGCTCTAGCCATTTTGAGACTCTCTCCCCACAGAAATGGAAAGTATCGACCTTTGGGAYGTTGCTCGGGTTCCTTTCATGTCGGTCGATGGCCGCGATGAGGTCATCGAGTGTCAGGCCCTTCTTGGGAACAACTGAAGCGCCGCCAGTCTCAGGCATCTTGACAGCCTCTTCTTTTTAAGTTCCCTGGCAAAAGAAAACAAGCACATCCCCTTATTCAACATTATACCTAGACTGGTCTATTCCATCCGTCCTACCTAACCCTTAGTACTTACTTCCCCCAATGTTAACACGATCGTCCTTCATACTTCCTCTACTTGGGTAGGTAAATTTCCTCACCTACACTTAGTCACTCATATATTCCTTCATTACCTTCTCATCACTCCTTTATGCCTTTTCTTATTCACTTCTCATACCCAGATGTCGTTCCACCAGGGACAACGGTAGGCTTTCCGTTATCTCCGGCAACGGCGCCACCTGTCGGGCGCATCGGTCCGGCACCGCACGGGGGCACCGCGGGACCCTCCCGGCCGCGTCACGCAGGAGTTGGTTCTTAGAACCCTTCGTCGCAATATACATAGAGCTTCCGCAAGCCGCTCTGGCCGGGTGCGCCAGCCATATCTCTCGCGAGCCCCTACGACAGGATAGGGCCTRCGCGAGGCACGACTTACCTACACCTTACGGGAGCTGTCACCTCCCTTCGGTGGGCGTATCCNGCACGACTTACCTACACCTTACGGGAGCTGTCACCTCCCTTCGGTGGGCGTATCCCCGCCGAGCTACCAGTCCACAGTACGAAAGCTAATCAACTGCAATCGCAGAGGTGGACCAGCCGAGGGCGATTCTCGTTCGTTGTAGCATAGGGGGTACGCACGGTAATACGCCTCTATCGGACCCGCACGCGAACCGACATCTTGGGGGGGCTGAGGTCCCAGGCGCGATTCATCGCGGGTCGACTAGGACGCAACCCACACACCACGCGCACTCCACTTTACGAACACACATACACACAAAACAACATATATACGAAACGACACAATACCAACAATGCGACAACGCTCCTAGCCCCTCGGTAGCCAACCCATAACTTTCCAATGCGGAAATCGGATAGGCCTCGCGTGCTGAACTTAGTATAAAACCGCGCGGACGCAGGGCTTACTCATATCGACTTGCAATGCAGGCGCACACAAGCCGTCGCAATGATGGCGTACTATGTACTGCTCATAATCAAGCGGTCCCTCGTGGATCCAAGTACCGCTTATGACACTCAAGTGTCAGACTTGAAGTGTCGTAAAGGCCTAACCCTTCACGACATTTGCACGACTGAAGGAATAGTCGTGCAGCCGCCGAGGCACCTCAGGCTCTCGACCTGCGTGTCATGGTAGGCAAATCAAATAGGCTCCGCGCGAGGGAAAACCCCTCCCCTGCAGAGCCTAGGGCTTGGGATGTCCTGTACAAGGACCTCAAATCCCGGCCCAGGACCAAATGTCCGACTAAGAAAATCATCAAAAAACAAGAGACAAGAATAAAAGGAGAGACCTCCTCTAAGCCCCTCATTCTCAGCTTCTGAGTAGGGCTCTAATGTGGGGCTCTTCAATCTATGCAAAGATTCATCCCAAGTATACCCATGTATACATATATAAGGGTTTAGTATGTGACGATCACTTTTCACGGTCTCACTAGGGTTTCTCATAATAATACGTATATGTGTCATCGTAGGCAACCAAATCCAGAATCTGCTTCACAGCACATACCTGTCATCACATCAACGAACGAAATCAACAGCCCACACACAACACGAAGTCAACCCCAACCACCTTTGACACTCATACCCCTCGCTTTAGCCATGCAAACCCCAAACCTCCTGTCCAACCAACCTAAATTAAATACTCAGCACCTTTGTTAAATGGCCATTCAATAAAAGTCAAGGTGAAACCTTAATAAAACAACGAAATCACCAGGGCTAAAGTCTTTTAGGTTGAGTGTAGAAGGAGAGTTGAAATTGAGTCGTAGACCGACGAATCGACAACCGACGTGTTATCAGTGATAACAGTAAGTGATCCTCAAGGGGTCAAGCTGAATCTAGCCCTGAACTTGGATCAAATGATCAAAAGAACCTGTAACACACCGCAGACCAATTCCCAAGCTAAGATCATAAGTGTATGGAGAATACAACTCCATAATACATCCTCCCTCAAAACCTCCTTATAAGATAAACCTAAGTCTACTTTTAAGTCAGTGTTTAAGCCAAAGGTAGACCAACTGCAAAATCTCCCCTATTCTGGGTGGATCGCCTGAATCTCCTATCAAAATATAATCTATCTCCAAACGTGCCTTTTCATAATTTGTATAAGCCGAGATATGAAAGCATAAATCATCTCTAACTCTGGAAAGTCAAATTCTGTCAAACTTTCTGAATTAGTAAAAATTTGGGCAGCACTCCCATTGGAAAGGAAGACTTCACATGTTTATACTAAGTCAGATACGAAAGCAGAATTAATCTCTAACTCTGGAAAGTCAAATCCTGTCTGACTCTCTGAATTAGTAGAAATTTGGGCAGCACTCCCATTAGAAAGGGAGACTTCCCAGATTTATACTAAGTCAGATACGAACTCGAACAATAACTCGAGCTCAACTTTAGACTGAAATGAACTAACTCCTTAATTTTGTAGAAATTTCGGCAGCACTCCCTCTAGAAAGAGTGCTATTCCAAAATTTATACAAGACTAAGTTCATAATTTTGAGAATAACTTTGACTTCTCAAAGTCCAATTTTGTCTAACTCCCTGAATTAGTAAAAATTTGGGCAGCACTCCCTCTAGAAAAGGAGACTTTCCATATTTATATTAATCCATATATGGA